TGTGGTGCCTTCTCTCTTAAAAGCTTCTATCCCCACCCTCTTCCCTCATATACCGTATTCCATTTTCTTACGCAAGAATGACCTTTCTTCTTCCCCAGCCTCAAGTTCAGGTCGAGTTCCCCCACCAGGGCTCAGCCAGATGAACACGGATGTGCACCAGCCCCTGGACTCCAAAAGGCAATCCACAAGGGGGGTGCAGGGGGTTGCTCCAAGCCTGCTTCCTTCCTCTTTTCAGAGGTCACAGAGACGCGTGCCATGGAAGGCAGGAAGTTGTTCCTGGCCTTTAGGAAAAGGGCATGTTCGTTATTATGCTGAGAAATGCATATTCTTTCCTGCCCAAGACCCAGTATCGACACCAAAAATAAAATAGACATTGACAAGCTCTTTACTGCTGCTCCTCCCGGACTCTCTGCCTAATGTAGAAGCTTAGTTACCTTGGAGGAGAACTAGAATTGCTATGGCAGGAATGCATACAACAAACTGTCCGTATTCCACCTTTGACGTTCACCATGAGCTCTTGAGGCCCATATCACATAGAATAGCCTTCTTTAGTTTACCTTTTTTTTTTTTTAACAAATACTTATTACGCCCCCCACTATGAGCTGGGAGCAGTTTGAAGCAGAGAAAAAGGTGGGATGCCCTCCAAGAACCCACTCCAGCGGAGACAGGAAATAATCAAATAAACAGGTACAGTACTGAGCTCTATGGAGTATATGGTTTATGTGAAGAAAAACAAAGCAGAATAAGGAACAGAGTGGAGGGGGCGCTGTTTGGAGCAGAATGGACAGGGAAGGCCTCTCCTGGAAGGTGACTTGGAGCAGAGCTCTGAAGGTGGCAAGGAACAAGCATTCCCGCCAAAGACCTCAGCTGGGGGTGGCTCGAATGTCTGAGAAGGGCAAGGAGGCCAGTGTGGCTGGGGCGGAGTGAACAAGGGTGAGCACAGTGGGACTGGGGGTGCAGAGTAGCCAGATCTTACAAGACTTGGGCACGGGCCTGAAGTTCTGTTGTGAGGACTGTGGGCCGCCAAAGGAGGGGAGTCACTTGCTTTGATGTATGTTTTGGAAAATTCACTCTGGCTGCTCCATGAAAATGGACTGAGGGGGGAAGTGGGGACCAGGTGAGGAGTGACTGCAGCAAGGGTGACAACAGCAGCGATAACGCCATGAGATCTGTTAGGGGTCTGGGGAAGATTTTGAAGCTAGGGTTTTTAGCACTTGGTGATGGGTTGAAAAGAGAAGGGTGAAGGAAATAGAGGTTTCTAGGGTGACGTTTAAGCCTTTGTCCAAAACAAAAGGCTGAATGGCAGCGTTGCCTTTTACTTGAGGAAAAGTGAATTTATAGATTCACATCTCCAATTTGGAGGGTCTTTTAAACACCCAAGTGGAGGTGTCTACAAGCGATCGCATGTGCTCGCTGGAGCTCTATGGAGAGGCTGAAGGTGAAGATAGAACTGGGACTCCCTGGCAGGGAGTGGTCCAAGGCGTGACTTTGGGTTAGATCACCTGTGGAGTGAGTTTCAGTAGAGAAAGGGGGTCTAAGGAGCGTGTAGGTAGAGGAAAGGATCCCATCATGCTCCATCCTGCCCAAAACCCATGGCTCCCACCTCGTCACCTGGACCCCAACCCCACAGGACTGATCATCCCTAATCTGCCCAGTCTCACTCCCCATCTGCCAAATGCTCCCACCATGTCTTGAGATCCACGCCGACCCCCAGCAAAACCTTCTCTATCCCCAACCTCTTTTCTACTCAACCGCCTCTCTCCTGAGGACACTGCTTCCTCTCAGTCCTTAAGTAGGGGTGGTTTTATCCTCCAAGATCCTTGTACTGAAGAGCTGGAGGTAGGAGTAGCCTCTTCCATGTTCCTCGTGACCACTTCCTGGCCCTTGTCCTTCTCTCCTCCCTCAAACCTCCCAACACCTTTGGTGCAAGGTGGAGAGTGAAACATGGATGTGAGAGAGAAACATCGATCGGTTGTCTCCCATACATGCCCCGACCCCAGAGATCAAAACCTCAACCTAGGCATGTGCTCTGACCAGGAATCGAACCAGCAACTTTTTGATGTACAGTGACCACTTCCTGGCCCTTGTCCTTCTCTCCTCCCTCAAACCTCCCAACACCTTTGGTGCAAGGTGGAGAGTGAAACATGGATGTGAGAGAGAAACATCGATCGGTTGTCTCCCATACATGCCCCGACCCCAGAGATCAAAACCTCAACCTAGGCATGTGCCCTGACCAGGAATCGAACCAGCAACCTTTTGATGTAGGGATGACGCTCTAACTAACTGAGCCTCCTAGCCAGGGCCATCGTGTTGATCTATTCCTTGCTGAACAGCTGATCTTCCTGATTGCAAGTCTCCTGCCTTCCTATGGGTGTGTGTGTGTGTGTGTGTGTGTGTGTGTGTGTGTGTGTGTATAAGAGGCCTGGTGCACGAAACTCGTGCATGGGGGGGGGGCGGTGTCCCTCAGCCCAGCCTGTGCCCTCTCGCAGTCCGGGACCCCTCGCTCCTTACCGCCCTCCTGCTTGCTGCTCCTTACCGTTCAGCTCGCTGCTCCTTAGTGCTGCCGCGGAGTCCAGAGAGGATCCCACCAGTGTTTGCCCCCTGGTGATCAGCGCATATCATAGCAACCGGTTGTTCTGGTTGTTCCGCCGTCACGGTCGCTTAGGCTTTTATTATATAGACTAGAGGCCCGGTGCACAAAAATTTGTGCACTCGGGGGGCGGGGGGAGGGGGGTCCCCCAGCCTGGCCTGTGCCCTCTCGCAGTCTGGG